AAATTTATGCACTTAGCATCCTTACTACAAAATTAGTGAGATCCCTTTGTTAAACCATTGTGCTACCTTGCATACGTGTTCTTTTTCTTTCCTATTAAATGCGTTTTACACATTTTCACCCTCTGAAGGAAATAATGTGTGGTTGAAAGGTATAGCCAGTACTTCTTCCATGTTATTGGAATTGAATATTGTTAGGCCACCGGTGCGTTTCACTTATGCAAGGCGCAGGGGTACTTCTGGCAATTCTGGGAATGAATGATTAGAGATAAGTGAGGGGTCTATTATTAAATTTCTGTTAGTTTGGTATTCTGTTTGGGGGAATACGGGTTTTCTGTTATGGCGTAGTAGGAAGGATGAGAATATAAAGAATAGGGAGTCTGTGTTGAGGGGTATCAAAAAGAGAATAGTGTTCAGTGTTGAGCTCGCTCAATTTGGAGAGTTTCCAGGCCTCTCGAATGCTTGGTTGTTTTCAATAAATTCCAGACATTCAATATAATTCCCTTTATCCATTCATCTGTCCTTCTGGTGTGGTATAAACTGTTGCTTTTCAGCCTGTGCATAACAAATTGGTATCAGAGCGGTCGTACCTGGGAGATGGCAGCCAAAAATGTTGCTCAGCGAATGGATTCTGTTGAGGAAATGGTTGGTGCCGTGCAAGGAGAGTTCAAAAAAGAAGTGGGAACGCTGAAAGAGGAGATACAAAATATGAACAGAAGGTTTGAGCAATTCCTCAAATCGCAGGAGGAGAAGGCTCGAGGCGAGTCACTGCCATCTAAAGGGGAGAAGGTGGACATCCCGTTCGCGGGTGAGCCTCAGGTAGTAGAAGGAGGGTCGGGTTTAACCGGAATCCGACAGGATTACCGATTTCGGAGGCTGGAGATTCCACAGTTCGATGGTTCAAACCCGGATGGGTGGATTTTGAGAGCAGAACGATACTTCACCTTGAATCGATTGACGAACGAGGAGAAGATTGAAGCAGCGATCGTGGCATTCGAAGGGGATGCGCTGTTGTGGTATCAATGGGAAAATAAGAAGCGAACCATAGTGCTGTGGGAGGAAATGAAGATCCTCCTATTAAAGCAGTTCCGGGCAACGCAAGCTGGGTCCCTCCATGAACAGTGGCTGGCACTTGTTCAAGAAGGCAGTGTGCAGGAATATCGCCGGAAGTTTATTGAGTTGTCGGCACCCTTAGACAACATTTCTGATGAGTTAGCTCTGGGCAATTTTATTAATGGGCTGAAACCTGAAATTAACGTGGAGGTCAGAATTCTAGAGCCCAGAAACTTGGGTCGGGCCATGGACTTGGCCCAGAAAATAGAGGAGAAGCTGTGGGTAATCAAAACCCATAAATCCACTAATGGGTTTCAAAAGGCAGGAGGGCCATTACGTGATAGAGGCTCCTATCACGAAGCTTCCAAATTCAATTACGGGGGAAAGCAGGCGACGGCGAGATTTTCAGGGGAAGTTCGCAGATTGTCGGACTCGGAATTGCAGCGAAAGCGGGAGAGAGGTGTTTGCTATAAATGTGATGAGAAGTGGGCACCTGGGCACGCGTGCAAGAGGAAGGAGTTAGGCGTACTGGTGACCCATGACCTCGAAGGAGACCCATGCGAAGCTGAGGACACTGAGGCCGTGGAAGCCGAACTCGAGACGGCTGAGCTTAACCAGGTGGTGGAGGTTTCACTTAATTCTGTTGTGGGTCTAACTACTCCAAAAACAATGAAACTTAAGGGGCTGATTGGCGAGCAAGAAGTTGTGGTTTTAATCGACCCAGGTGCAACCCATAATTTCATCTCCTTAGACTTGGTCAAAAAAATGCAGCTACCAGTGGCCAAAACTGAGGTATATGGGGTGACTATGGGTACGGGTACGGCTGTACGCGGGGAAGGCCTGTGCAAGGGAGTAGCTCTTCACTTGCAGGGGCTCGATATCGTGGAGGAATTCTTGCCTCTTGGGTTAGGAAGTTCGGATGTTATTTTGGGAATCCAGTGGCTCGAGACTTTGGGGATGACACACACCAACTGGAAGACGCAGGTGATGAAATTTAGGCTTGGGAATGATTCGGTCACGCTGCGTGGGGATCCGGCTCTTGGAAAAACTCTGGTCTCATTAAAAGCTATGATGCGAACCATTAAGCATGAGGGAGCTGGAATTTTGGTAGAGCTCAATCAACTGGAAGGACTGAGGGAAATGAATTCTGAGGCTCCCACATTTATTCGCCACGTGTTGGCAGATTATGATAGTGTGTTTGACCTGCCACCGGGATTACCGCCCATCAGGGGACATGAACACTTCATTGTGCTCAAAGAAGGCAGCGAACCAGTTAGTGTCCGGCCCTATCGCTACCCTCACATACAGAAGAATGAGATTGAGAGGTTGATTAAGGAAATGATGGATGCTGGAATTATTCAAGTCAGCAGCAGTCCTTTCTCGAGTCCAGTTTTGTTGGTTAAGAAGAAAGATGGATCATGGCGTTTTTGTGTGGATTATAGGGCCCTAAACAAGGTTACGGTGGCTGATAAGTACCCTATTCCTGTAATTGACGAATTGCTCGATGAGTTACATGGCGCAAAAATTTTTTCTAAGCTGGACTTGAAATCGGGCTACCACCAGATTCGGGTCAGCTCTCAAGATGTTCATAAAACGGCTTTTCGAACTCATGATGGACATTACGAGTTCTTGGTCATGCCTTTCGGACTTACAAACGCCCCCGCCACTTTTCAGTCCCTAATGAACGATGTCTTTCGACCCTATCTCCGACAGTTTGTTCTAGTATTCTTTGACGACATCTTGATTTACAGCCCTTCAGAGGAGACACATCAGCAACATTTGGCCCAAGTGCTGGAAACCTTGCGGACCCATGGTCTCTATGCCAATAGGAAGAAATGCGAGTTTGGCAGGGCTCAAGTAGCCTATTTGGGCCATCTAATTTCTGGGGAAGGAGTCGCGGCTGATCCAAGCAAAATTCAGGCCATGAAGTCTTGGCCAACGCCCACTAATCTAAAGGCGTTGAGAGGATTTTTGGGTCTAACTGGGTATTACCGAAAGTTTGTGGCAGGATATGCTCAAATTGCGTGGCCTCTGACAGATCAGCTTAAAAAAGACAAGTTCGGGTGGAATTCGGAAGCTGCATCAGCCTTTGATGAGCTCAAAAGAGCTATGTCGTCAGTCCCAGTATTAGCAATGCCTGATTTCACCAAACCATTCATCATCGAGACGGATGCTTCAGGGTTTGGGTTGGGAGCTGTTCTCATCCAAGGGCTGCAACCAGTGGCTTATTACAGCCAAGTTCTTGGTCCCCGAGCACGTCTTAAGTCTATATACGAGGAGTTAATGGCGATAGTGTTTGCAGTGATGAAGTGGAGACCTTACCTTCTCGGGAGGCGTTTCCTTGTGCGGACAGATCAACAAAGTTTGAAATTTCTGTTGGAACAGCGGATTATTGGGGCTGAATACCAGAAATGGATTACCAAGCTCATGGGATATGACTTTGAAATTCAATACCGAAGTGGGGCAAGCAACAGGGTAGCAGATGCTCTGTCTCGGTTAGCTACTCCGGCTAAATGTACGACATTGACGGTACCACAGTGGCAGTATTGGGAATCCTTGAAAGCTGAATTGGCAAATGATGTTTTTCTGACTAGTATCAGGAATGACATTACCTCAGGGGAAAACTCACATGTCGGATTTACAGTGGAGCAAGGAATTTTGTTTTATAAGAACCGTCTTGTCGTGCCCCGCACCTCCCAGCTGATTTCTACTCTCATTGGGGAGTTTCACACCACCCCTGTTGGAGGACATTCGGGAGAAACGAAGACCTACCAACGCTTGGTCGCTGAGTTGTATTGGGTAGGCATGCGCAAAGATGTAGCCAAATTTGTTCGGGAATGCACAGTTTGTCAACAGAATAAGTACTTGGCCACTACTCCTGCAGGGTTACTTCAGCCGATTCCGCTTCCGGCACAAGTTTGGGATGAGGTTACCATGGATTTTATTGAGGGGCTGCCCCGTTCCGAAGGCTGGGATGCTATCTTGGTCGTGGTGGACAGACTCAGTAAGTATGCTCATTTTATTGGGTTGAAACATCCCTTTACAGCGGTCACAGTTGCTGGCATTTTTATTCGTGAGGTGGTCAGGCTTCATGGGATCCCGCAATCCATCATTTCTGACCGGGATAGGGTGTTCTTGAGCCACTTCTGGAGTGAGCTTTTTCGGCTGCAGGGAACAACCTTAAAAAGGAGCACTGCCTATCACCCTCAAACCGATGGGCAAACGGAGGTGGTCAACCGGTGTTTAGAAACTTATCTGCGTTGCTTTGCGTCTGGAAAACCTCGGAGTTGGGGTCGGTGGCTAGCATGGGCTGAGTACTGGTACAACACTTCTTTTCATTCTTCTACTAAGTGTACCCCTTTTCGTGCTCTCTACGGTCGGGACCCTCCTCCACTTATCAGATATGACAAGGGAGCTACCTCAGTATCCTTGGTTGATCAGTTATTGGAGGATCGAGATGCTATACTGGATGATTTACGGATGCATCTGCTTCAAGCGCAGCAACGTATGAAACTACAGGCTGATCTCAAGCGACACCATGAAGAGTTCAGTGAAGGCGATTTAGTTTTTCTGAAACTGAGGCCTTATCGACAACGATCCCTTGCCCAACGTAAATTCGAGAAATTGGCCGCACGTTACTATGGCCCATTTAGAGTTGTTCAGCGCATCGGTAAAGTGGCTTATAAACTGGAACTCCCTCAGACTGCATCTATTCACCCTGTGTTTCATGTTTCCCAACTCCGACCTGCTCGTGGAATTTCAGCTTCTTCTCCTACTTTACCTCATCAGTTGACTCTTGAGTTAGAACTGGTGGTGGAACCAGAAGCGTTGTTGGGAGTACGCTCTAAAACCCAAGGTCAATCTGGCGAAGTGGAAGTATTATTAAAGTGGAAGTCTTTACCTGAGTACGAGGCCACGTGGGAAGATTTTCATCTAATCCAGCATCAATTTCCTGATTTTCACCTTGAGGACAAGGTGAAGGTTTGGGCGGGGGGTAATGTTAGGCCACCGGTGCGTTTCACT